ATGTTTCTCAGATTTAAATATGATGGTTAATTGTCTATCCAACTACTATAATTTTATCTTTGGGTTAAGTTTTTTTTTTTTTTTTTTTAATACCTATAGTTAGGCTAATACTATGTATTTATTAATCATTAAGAAAATTGATAGAGATACATAAGGCAATTGCATCATGGCTAAACTAAAAGACTTGTACTGATACACTCATCAACGACTTACAATTCTCAAAAGAGCTTCAACCTTTAAGTACAATCTTGGGAACAATATTTTGCTTCGAACTAAGTTTTAGGTGAAGACTCTTCTAATTTACCCATCATTGCCAGCAGGTTGTCATTGCTTATTATCCTCCAAGGAATTGAATTTGAGAAACTACAAAAGGGAAAAAGAAAAATAAAAGAAAAGGGTATATCTAAAAATGTGCAAGCACACTACATAAAAGTGAAAAGAAAAAAAAAATTAAAATACTTTATGTCTTCTAAAAGACCTCTATTAGAAACCTCTTCTCATTAGAAGGCAACCCTTCTGGGATATCCTTCTTTTTTCTAACCATCTGAGGAACTTATCCATTTGTGTTCTTGATTATTTTCTTGTAACCATCTGAGGTACTTATCACTTACTCAGATCCAGTGTCTTGCCCAATGCTTCCTTTTTTTTGGTCTTGATTTTGTATCCATCCGCATAGAAAAAAATGATTAACAGTGGATCCCAGGTTCTTATATGGCTTTTCAGTCTTGTTAGATAACTTCTGATATTTTCCAGCAGTTATGCCTAGTTAAAGGTATTTATCTTGATTGCAATATCATTACTCAATATCTGGGAAAATGTATTTTCAATTCTAGAGAAGGGTAGTATTTTACATTCCTCTGCTTTTTGGTCTTACAGCCTGACTGGGATAATAAGAAATTGAAGGTCTCAGCTTGAACAAATAATCACCTTTTTACCAACTAGAAAATTTAATGCCCATCCTAATGACCTCATGATTTCTTTGCTTCAGTTAAACTTCATTTGGTGAAGTAGAGAAGTTCGTATTCTTGATTTTTCTTTCAATCACCAATGATGTTATCGGAACACGTAAGGTGACCAATAGAAGCTTATTTACATTTAGCTACTAATATATTACGTGCTAACCAATCAGATACCAGGTAATGTTGTGCTATTAAAAATTCAGGGTTAAACTGAGGTAGGCAAAATCACCCAAGAAAACTATGAAAAATAGTAAACACTTTAAGAGGATATAAGACAGTATGTGAGAAGGTGGAAAATAAGTCTTTCCCTGTCAACAGAACCTCTATATCTTGTCACTTCCAGCTCTGTAAGATGACATTCCACTTGTCAGTTCTTTTACTTCTTAGAATCTTCTTGTCCTTAGTAGAGGAAATATGTACTTGAGTCTTTTCAGGCCACTAGAGGCTCAAGTTATTATTCAAAGAAGTTTATAAATAAGTAAGGGAGGGTAGAAGAGATATATGAAGACAAGCTTCAAGTTGTTTAATGAAAGTGTAAAGACTTTATTAATAAATAAATATAAAACTTCTTGCAAGCATCTTTTTTGTGTGTAGTCAGAGAATTAGCGAAAAGAGTTTTTTTCTATTTTTTTTGATCCATATCTTTTAGGTTAAGTTATAACTATAAACAAAACTATATAATATTAAATAGGGAAGAAAACTTAGACCTGTGAGTCGATAGCACAGTAGTAATACTCCCAGGTCACAATCACAAGGTCCAAAGTTCAATACTACATAAGGACTAAGTAAAAATTAAGCCACAAAGTGATACAAAGATCTCATCTCCCCATGATGATGATCAAGTGCTTCATAAGGCAATAAGAAGAACCCGTTCGCTTATCATGCCTATAGTAAGAATGACAAATCAACACAAGATTTTATATAAGGCTAACATGAGTGACACAAGCCCTCCATATATAATCAATCTCAGATACCTAACAGGAATGTAAAGAAGGACCTTACCCACTTATCATGGCCATAATAAGACAAGATACATATAAGGTTCCATAATAGGGCCAAAAATAAGTGGTACAAAGGTTTCAAGTAAAAGAACTGTTCATTCCAAAAAATGGAAAGAGGAAGAACTTTATTACTCATAGAATGACCAAAACATGCCCATAAAAATAATACTGAAGACACAAGACAGGCCCTAACAATCAAGACTAACAATGGAGGGATTATTGTCCTTCACATAGAACTGAGCCCCAACAAGTAACAAGACTGATCCCATTCATATGACAAGCCCCAGGAAAAAATTTAAAGTGCTAACAGAGCCAATAGGATTCCATATAAGAAATCCCCAATACCGGTGGTGCTAAGCATCTTAGGTGAGTTCCTGATACGTTAGTTTCTTCTATAACAGGAGAAATAGCAACAAGTCATCCGGTGAATTATAGTCCTAGAAAGTGTCATTTCCGAGTATAGAGATAATTTAGTGGATCACTTCATTAAATTTAAATGTATAAAATTCCCCACAACTTTAGCTGAATTATAATTAAGAAATAATTCTATACTAGATGATTATATAGTTACTCTATTCTGGTTGGATGAGACATAAATAGATATCCCTTATACTATTTGTTGATCTGTAAATTCTTAGACAGTATGGGTAATTACTCATTCCAGTTGTTCCTAGAACCAATCTTGACTCTAATAAAGTTTCAGAACTGGTGCAATAATGAGCTAGCACTTAAAAAAAAAAAAAAAAAAATAGGGGAGAAGACTTTACATATAACAAAGAAGGTATTGGTGGGAAAAGAAAGTTGATCTTGATATAGAATAATTTGAAAATCATACTACTACTAGCACTTTTGTACTATCAGCTGGTTATTTTTTGAGGGCTTTATTGGTTCAAGTCTTGATGCCTCTTTTTCAGCTACTTTCAATACAGTCATATTGTAATTTCTTGTTTCTCAACTCCAGTTCTTTCTTTTAATTTCCACTTTACTCTATTTAATATGGAACCTCTGTCAATGTTTTTTCAGGTAATAATAAGTTAGGGTTATGAAAGGGGTTCTAGGACATAAAGAAGAAGTAGCTTGATGATATTGTCAGAGTTTCTTTTTTTAGATTGTATAAGTACTAGAAAGAAGGGACCTATTATCCAATAACCTATCCTTCTTTGTTATTGGAATGGTTCTATCCTAAAAAATAAAGTCTTATACATCCAACTTGCACTTTATTGAATTTGATAAATATTATACTGTTTTTTCCAGAGTACTACCATCTTAAGTGATTGAACCATAGTTTTTTTTTCTTTAGACTACACATTGATCTTACCTTTTGATCGATACAAATGATAAATCTTCCAGCCTACCAATCTAATACTTCTAAAAGATAGGCATGGTGCTTCTTAAGCATTGTTCTCTTTCTATATACTCTTGAGTTTTGTTGTAGATATGGTTTTACTTAATAGATTTGTATAATGTGTTGTTGAAAATTCTTTCTTGATTAAGGTACTGATATAGGAGAGACTATATCTTATATCCATCTATATTATATCCTAATGTCTTATGGTGAATCTCAGGTTCTTATAGAGCTGAGAAAATGTATTCAGACACGCTAGGTGATCAATGGAAGTTTGTTTATATTTTTTTACTAATGTAAGCTCTATCTGTTCAATCATAGTGTGAGAAACTTTGTGCTATTCAAAATTCAAGATCAAACTGAGATAAGCAAAATTTTCTAGAAGAATCAAGAATAAATACTATAAGAAGTTAACAGATGATGAAAGAGTAAAGAAGTTGTCTCTCATTATTTATAGACTTCTGTGATAATTCTCTACAGTGTAAGATAATAGCACATTGGTTCTTCTTCCTTTTAGAACTTTCTTGTCATTAGTAGAAAAGGTTTTTTCTTGACCTTTATGGTCATTAAAGATTAAAGTTTTTGTTTGAAGAGATAGTAAACAAGAGGAGAGGAAGTAATTGATGACTCTTAAAGTTTCTTCAAGTTGGTTTAAGAAGAGAAGTAAGACTTTTTTAGCTTAAAGTATAAGAAACTTTTTGTGAACATCTTTTTTATGTGTGATCAGAAGATTGACAAAAAGAGTTGATTATACTGAAATGATAGAATCCTTTTTATATTATGTTTTACTGAATATTTTTTTTTACAATACTTATTACAGAATACTTACAAAATATCTACATGGAGACTTAAATATCATCTCATTCTACTGGTGTTTCTTTTTATATAACTTATTATAGTTTACCTATGGAATAATTATATGGAATCTTGGATAGATATTGATTTGATAAAGACTTTTTTCTAATTAATATGTCTAAGTTCTATTAGTCCTTTTTTTTATGGCTTGTAAATATTTAACCTATCTGCAGGAGCTTAATAGAACCTATTTTATAATAAGATGACTTTAGCATTAAAATTAACCAAAACATCTTGTAATCTTTGAATATCTCGTAATCAAATGAGATTTTAATCAAAGATGACAATAATCAATATTATGAAATGAATATGATTTTTTGTACTATTTAGGCTTAGGTGATACTACCTCATAGTGGTATAGAACTTGGAAACAGTATTTAGTGACCTGGAAGCACTACCACTATGCTATTGATCTACAGATCAATAAAAATTTATTTTAATTAAATAGTTAAAACAAAAATCTTTTTTACTTTTATTTTTACTTTTATAATTTTTTATAATTTAAAATAATCAATTATAAATTATATATAAATTAAAAAATTTTTAATTCAAAGTTTATTACAAATTTAGAAATTTTAGTTGACTTATAACTATAGATGCATCCCTAAAGGAGAAGGCAGGAACAAAAGTCAAATGTTTCTCAATAGTAAACATTAAAATTTTTAAATTAACAACTATAAAAAAACTACTCACAATTGTTTTCCATTATCTAAATTATTGATTTATAATATTTCTTGACTTTTGTTCCTATTAAAGTAAAGAGCTATAAATTTTGTTCCTTAAAAAGAGACATAAGTAATTTGCAAAATTTTATATATTAAATACTTTAGGGACCCATCATTACTTATAACAATTTAAATAAATAATAAGTTTATTTTAATATATATATTTATCTAATAAAAGTATTTAATTATATAAAAATTATTACTCTAAGGATTAAACTTTATTTGAGAATAATTTTAAATTTAATACTTAAAAATATATTAAAAATTTTTTTCTATATAATCACAAATTTTCTTTATTCTAAAAATAAAAAAAAATTAATACCTAAAACTTGCATACTTGTTGATTTTAAGCATAACAAAATTATTGATCTATGAAAAGATAATTACAGTGAGTGTAATATTAAAGATATATTTAATTAATCAAAAATAATTATTCATGATATTTATTAAAAGATATAAGATAAATCAACAAATTAATATTATTTCTAGATCTAATGAATTATTTAAATTAACAAAAAGAGATATTAGATATCTTGTGAAAACTGTAAAGAAGATCAACAACAATTTTTGAATAAAATAATAAAAAAATTTAGTTAATTATTAATAATTTCAGTAAACATTTATATTATTCAATGTATTTTACATAATAAAGAATCTTATGATCAAGCTAAAAAAAGAAAACATTTAATATTTGAAAAAAGTTATAAAAAAGATTAGAATGATGTTATACTAGAAAAAATTGGGATTTAAAATAGAATACTATAATCTGGAATAATAAATCTCATTTTTTATTATTTTAAAATAATTTACAATATCAGATTTAATGAAGTTAACTTGAAAATTATGATATAAATTGTTTAATTTCAACAATAAAATCAAAAAATCAAGATATAATGGTAAGAAGATATTTTTTACAAAAAATAAGATTGATAAAATTACAGAATCTATATATATTGAAGTCTTAAAAAATAATCTTTTATCTTTTATTGATAAATTAGATAATAATTTAGAATATATCTTTCAAAATGATAATGCTTCAGTTTATTAGATAAAAATAATTAAACAATGGTTAGAAAATAATTTGATAACAAATATTTCTTGGCCTACACAATCACCAAATCTTAATTCAATTGAGTATTTATGAAATATTTTAGAAAAAAATTTTTATAAACATGATCCCCATTCAAAAAATCTTACAGAATTAATGATCATTTTAGAAGAATGGAATCAAATTGAATTAAAAAATTTAAAAAATTTAGTAAAAAGTATGTCAAGAAGAATTCAGGTTGTAATAGATAGTAATGGAAATTCAACAAAATATTAATAGTATTAATAAAAAATTCAGACCTTTGTGAACACATTAGTATAAATTTTATTATAAATTATTTAGTAAATTCTTTACTAACAATAAAAACAAAATCAACTTTAAATTTTAAGAATTGCGATGATCAACATGTGGCCAGATACTTTTGGCAGGTGAGTGTACGTACTCATTTGAATTATTGTACCTGTTTTTTTTATTGATCAATAAACGCAACCATCAGACTTGACTATAGGTGATGTGATGCAAAAAATGGTTAAATAAAAAATTGGCAATGGATTTCATGATGAAATTTAACAAATCTATGAGTACAAGATAATGAGAGTGAAATGTATGCGTATATAATTTATTGATTATTTTTTTTTTTTTTTGCGAATGAATAACTAGCCTTCGATAATTGTTCAATCGATGTGCAAAGAAAAAAAGAAAATGCACATACTGTATTTGTAATTGAGAACATCCCAAAGAATTCAAATAAATATACAGTTAATGAGTGGCCGATTCTACTGATTTTTTTTGGAAGCGGAAGCGGTTGGCCTGCCCTTCCATGTTTTCATTCCCGAATCAACATTAAGCACCTGTAAAAAAAAAAAAAATTCACAAATCTGGACACATTCACGGGAAGAAATTCGAACGAGAATCAGGTATATAAACTCTTAAGAACCTTATGAACAAGATCATGAACGAATGACGGCAGGATTCTCAATGCTGGCACGAAATGGACATAATAAGGTACAAAAATATCTTGACCCTGATCTTTTTCCAGAGCGGTGAATATAAGCTTTACCACATCCAGCGGTGCCAATGGCGGCGTGATAAAAGGGAATCTAACTTCGATGCCTTCAAACATTCCCGTTTTTATTTCCCCCGGACAAACCAAAGTCGTGCGAACAGTTTTCGCATCATACCTATATTGATCATAATGGGAAGATCAATTTTGCAGCCGTCGTTTCTCAAAGTAAAAGATTTAAAACGGCATGTTACCGACTATCCAATTCGTATCGGAGCGATTCGTGAAAAGCGACGAGTGCTGCTTTACTAGCACAGTAATCAGCTGATATGGCAAATTGCTCATTAATAATGTAAATAATTACATTTCGTAGTTAATGCGCGCTGCACTCACCCAACTGGGCCACCCCTGAAAATCCAGTGACAGATGACACGGTCACCTTTTAATATTTATAAAGGAATTCGGTTATAGCAAATATTTTTGCGAGGCGAATCAATGTACGGTCAGAAACAAAAGGCTTACTATGTGTCCATGTTTATTCTTGATCATTTCGGGTAAGAACACTTTGGTTGTCCAGAAGGATGATAATAGGTTTGTGTTTATAGTTCTTTAATTATAAAAAAGTCATTGATGGGTTTGTGCCAGTGATACCAAAGTATCGTTCCTTAAATTGTCTTACTCGATTATCTCAGCTTCCGATTCATCCAAAATGGTCTTCCCCTTAACAATGCCGGCATTGTTAACGAGAATGGTCGGGTGACCGAACTAGATAGGCAAATATTGTCAGTCGTAGTTCGCGTTTTTATAAGGCATTCTGTTCGTATATTTACATCTTCCACGATTTTCCTGGCCACACCTTGCACTTCTTCAAATTTTGACACGTCACATTTGTAATAGGCAATGTTAACTGGATGATTGAGGAAACAGATGAGGATTTATTGAATTCGAAGAAAAAACGCGTAAAAAAAAAAAAAAAAAAAAAACTAATGCACACGTACCATGCTCGATCTCTGGAGGTTTAATGTCTAATACGACAACGCTTATACTCATAATAGCCATTGTTTCAGCCAATAAGCCTCCCAATCCTCTTGAACCTGCGTTATGTTGTCAAAGGAAACTCAGAATAATGGTATCCTGAAAATTTTGGTTTTAAAAGGATAGTGAGACCAACCTCCGGTTATAACCACCACCTCGTTCTCCCAATCTATTTTACTGGACCTCCACCCGTTTCTACTTTTCGTGCTTAAGTAGCTTAAAAGCCAGAAAAAGCATATTGTGGATGTATAAATACCGCTCCACAAGAACGCAGGATGATCAACGCCATAACCCTGAAAGATGTATATGAAAACAAGGAACATGAGCGCAAACGAGGGGTGAAAGAAGGATAGTTTAAGAATGCGAAGAAAGAAATCTATTGAGAGAGACATTTTGTCTTTTTGAAAGAAAATAGAGTTTCTCACTCTCGTAAATTATATAATAATAAAAAAGCCATCGTGTTCGTGTTACTTCGGAATCGACGAAACACAAGATCATCTGTTTGTCATACTGTTCACATTATTAAGGTTTGAGAAAATTCCTGTTTCACACTGAAGGAATTTAGGAACATTAGGAACATTCCTCCTCTAGAAGTCCATTTTAGGAAATATAGCTGTTTCAAGATAATCGAACGATTTAATAAACCATTAATTGCTAGCATGCACACACGCACGTGTCTCGGAACAAACTCGAGAACTAATGCGGTTGTAGAGAAAATTCGTCGATCTCCAAATTTTTCCTTTTGCCTCGACTTTGTGTTATTCTCTTCGTTTTCCATTTTGTTTCAGACGATGGAATTGCTTTATTTTTGATTGCGAGTTGCGAAAGAAGAAATGAGGCACCCGGTGCACCTAAAAGAAGGCTTGAAGAAAATTAGAAATATTGAACAAGAATAAATTGCAAAAGGCAGACCTCGAGACAAAAAAAGGGAAGAAAGATGCATTGTTAGTGATGGTTTGATTGCAAATAAACAAATGAGAATTGTATAATTCAACCATGTCAGGCGATATACCCATGGAACTGACGCGAAACTTGTTCTCTGTGACGCTGTGTTAGTCTTGTCACAGTATGTCCCATATTTGGTGGTACCAAATTACTAGCATTTGAAGGAAATTCTTGATTTATTGCCGTCAAATTTGTAAGCTGAAACAATCACTCCTTACCCGCTGGTTGCCTTTCCTTCAAAAAGACCTTGCACCTTTGCACTTGCCATAACCTTCCACTCGTTTATTCTTCCTTCAAATCATTTCCTATTGGTTTGTTCCTTTAACTGTGGCCTTATAGTGCTAGACAAAGTCTTTTTCACTGCCCCTCACAACATTTTACTCCGAACTTCCCTTGTATACTCAACACCAATTACTCTCTTTCAGCTCAACTTTCCTAACGTAGAATTCCAACTATACTTTACACTCCTTTCTCAAATAGAATAACACCATGAAGGTTACAAGACTTCAGCTTGGCGTATACAATGGACAAGGCAACCAGCAACCATTTTGCCTATATCTGTTCCCCTTGGTCGCCTCTTCGCAGCAAGACATGTCCCCAAAGACCACGATACATTCCCCATTTTATCGGTTAAGGGATATTGACACAATATTTTTTGAGTCACCTACAGAGTTTATGTTCAAAACGGGAAAAATTCCTAAAATCTACTTTGACACACCTGGATATTGTTTCTATGAACGGTCGGGGGATATCTTCCTGTCGGCTCGTGCTGTGGGCGAAACTGCGACTCGTCTAGGAAATCATCTACTTGCAGAATTCTGCAAGTATGGTAGAGAAGACATAATATCAGGAATGGCTGACCGATTGCTAAGTGACATCACGATATTATCTCGCATGGCTCCCGCCGAGGCTGAATTTGAATTTTTTTCCATCAGCTCTCCATGCCTCCCTACTTTCTCTCCGAGATCTGATTACGGCTCCCATGTTGGCTCGCCAAGTAACTTGGGTTCGCCAACAAAAAGCCCTCATTTAATTCCACCACCACCGGTAAGCGGGAAGAAGCGTATGTCCTTCGAAGAAATACTCCATTCCAACGATAGTTCCGATGATAAAAGACATTCACCAAGAATGGACCAAAGCGCAGTTTCTCCTGCGGGATCAGATAAGTAAGTTTATATATATATGCATAGAAGTATATTATCCATCATATAAATATATAATTCCTCACATCGTTTATTACTCAGAGGGACCTCAACGTTCAAGCAAGAAACGTCTGCTACTTGCTCTAAGAGCGATCGTTCTGACATTCGATCTCCAAATCGTTCCCCCAGATCATCTCCTCACTCGCCATCTTTCCCGGATTCTCAAGGCGCTCTGATAATAAATGACGATATCCGATTACGTAAGAAAAGACGAGTTGCGGTGTCACCAATTGGATCAAATAAAATCAAAGCGACCAACAATCCCGAAGTGATGGAACAAGTTAGAAACACGCTCAAGTTAAAGCAACAACAGAAGGCCATCATAGAATCCCGGCAACATCAAGCACAAAAGCAGATGATGCAACAGCAACAGCAGCTACAAGGTTATGTTGATAGAAGGCATTCTGTTGCCGGTTACAATAATTCTGGCTCATCATCTCACGGTGCATGGGATTCGACCAAGCGGACTTCAACAGCTCGAGTGAATCGCAACTCCAGGAATCTCAGTGTGTTTGCCCCACCATACAATGATACTCATTCCAGACCTTGCGTCGTGAATGGTCAAAACCATGCTTCAAGTCTGTCCAACGGTCACGATCCCTTGCCAATGACTGCACCTATTACCAGATCAGCTTCAAATAAACAAAGTTCTTTCGGGTACTCTCTATCGACCAATTCTGCTTTCAGACCCGCAATTAAAATGCACTCTGCTTCCACCAGTGCTAGTATCAACGGTCTCATTTCACCTCATAACATTGATGATGTGCACCCAGAACGCAGTCCAATGACAAGTCCTCAAGTCAGCATTCAATTTAGCCCCTCCACCGCGGCTAGCCCGATGTTACCTTCCGAACAACCGACGAAGGAATCATTCGTCAATCTCTTTGACAATTTCTATGATGCCGTGGCCGACACTCGATCTCTGAAATCTACCCTCGAAGAACAGATCCGTAAAACAACCACTTTGCTTCAAGCACTCCAAGCGTCAGGCTCGATGATTGAAAGTTTAGTTCGCGGTCATTTTCGCGAAATGCAAACAGAGGTCGTTAAAGATTTGGTGAAGTTGGAGAAAAGGATTGCCAAGGTAGAGGAACGTATGCGTCAGAGTACAAATGTAGGAATGAGTCCCAGCCCCCCCATCGAGGCAGACAGAAGGTTAAGCGACATCAGCACCGCGAGCAGTGACATGGGCTATGGTCATCAAAACGAGAATAACGAAGGTTCACCGCGACACTTGTCAGTTGGACAACCTTCACAATCCAGTCCCCCATTGTCGGCCGGTTTGTCGCGAGGTGAAGAGACACAACAACAGGATTATCAAGAAGCGTTGAGTGCCATAAAGGCTAGATTGGAGTCATTGGAAAGACGCATGTCCGTTCCATAATTTTATTTCATTGTGCACAAATTCCTCTCCCATCGATTGTCTTTCGACTTGGTGATTATTCGAAACCAACCAACCAACATTCTAATCACACTCCTTTTTTCTCTACATAATTTATTTGGACATTTAATAAACATTCCATCATCTGTTTGCATTTGTAACCCCTAATATATTTCACTCATGTAATTAACTTTTGCAACCATTTGCCATCTTCTTTTATCCGAACAACGTGGGAACTGATTACTCGATTTCATCATGTTACAATGACTTAACGGGTTTTTCTCTGCGTTCCCTTGTCATCACATCATTCCTTCTTTTATGCATAAGGACTTTCATTTACACAGAAATCACATATTCCCTAGACTTTCTCACCTTCTAAATTTCGATTTTATTTGCATCAATTAATTTTCTCTCTCTTTTTTTTTTTTTTAATCTCTTTAAAATTCCTCAATCGCGCACAATTTCCATCATAACAAAAGAAAAGAAAAAAAAAAAAAGTACACCAAATTACTCTTTTATCACCTTCTTCGGGAAAAAAACAATTCAAAATTACATATTTCCACTAATCTAATCATAATTACTCTCAACAACCTTATAACCTGTTTGATTGCTATTTTCTTGGTAATTACCATCAACTTTTTCTATAGAGGCGATGATCCGGGCATAAACTCTTTCACATCGCATGCAATTTACAAGAAGAGTTTTTATTAAAATTATATATATATGTGTGCGTACTCCTTGAGCATATATATATGTAATGATTTAATAAAAAAAATTTTTTTTTGAACTTTTTTGATGTGACGTAGATACGTCAAATAAATAAAAATACATGTATTTGTTTCGTCATGCGTGGTACAAAATTCGATCCGCGTGGATATGATCGATGCGATCAGCACAAAAGTTTTTTGGTTTTTTCTAGGTCACAGTGAACTTTGAAGTCACGGAAGTCATGTCAAAATGGACAGAAAGTGATTCGCTAGCAAACTGGGTCGTGATTGGGAGTCTACTCTTTGGTGGATGTTGTAGTAACGTTGTCGCACTGGAACTACTAGTCGGGTCGGTAAGCGCTAATGCCCCAATAAAGAAAAAATAAAAACTTTAAAATAACATTATTCCCTCTTGCTCTGAGTGAAAGTGTCTTTAAATAATCGTCAACTTTCCTAACTAACTCTAGCGATGCACCAAAGAGCGGTATGCACTCACCTTGTCAACTTTATTATTATTATTATTATAATTATATTACCATTATATTGGTCATTAATGTTTATTCTATTGTTATCAATCTCTCTCATTATTTTGAAATTTATAGGAAATTTTTTCACTTTTGCCCAATTTTTGTTTATATCTGGTGAAGGTCTACTTCATAACGTCGAGTATACACCAATCCCACGCCTCAAGGAACGCACGGTCCCCGTACATCGGTGGATCGTTCAGGTGGTTCTATTTTTTACGGTATCTGTTTTGAACAACATCGCGTTAGGATATAGAATATCTGTACCTCTTCATATAATTTTCCGTAGTGGGGGACTAATGGTCAGTATGATATTAGGGTGGGCGTTGGCCGGAAAGAGGTAAGATAAATTTTCCGGAATTCTTTGCGAAATATTTAACCCTACAGATCACACCCGAAGCTCACGCATTTACCACAATTTTCTTAGGTACACAATGAAACAAGTAATATCGGTGGTAATGGTCACCTTAGGAGTCGCGTTGGCAACGATTAGTTCTGCCAACATCAACACGAAGGTACTAAGAGAAAATCACACCGGAAGGTTATGTCAGTTCCAAAGATCAGTTATTACAGCGTGGATTAATCTGAAATACATAGTGATAATGAAATCCAAAATTAGGATGTGACCATCGATGTCAGCACCTCTGATTATGTGATGGGGATCACCCTTCTCTCGATCGCCCTGATACTTTCTTGTATAATGGGCCTATACCAAGAATTTACTTATAAGAAGTACGGAAGCAATTGGCGCGAAGGTTTATTTTACACGGTTCGTGAACATTTGCCTACTTGCAAAAGAACTTTTTCCATATTTTTTTTTTTTTTCAGATCTTATATTTAATTCGTCGTCATTTCTTTCGTCCGTCCTTTAATAGCATTTTCTCGCGTTACCTCTCTTCTTCCTATTCTACTCCGACATCAAAGGCCAGATCCAGAGTTTCAATAATTCTCCACTAGTATCACTGGACGACATGATCACCAAATTCAAGGGTGATTTGCACTCTTTTGGTCGAGCTCGAAGTGTAATGAAGCATTGTTATTTGCCTCAAACGTGGATTTATCTTTTGATAAATGTATTAACTCAGTAAGTTGATGTCTATGCCTCTACAGTGGTATGCTTTATGAAATATTTTATTGTTGCAGATTCTCGCAGTCTCATACCTCTGTTCAACCTAGATTCGTGTGCGTGTCCGGTGTTCACAGGCTAAACTCTATTTCCACTGCCTTAACCTTGAATCTCGTCTTAAATCTTCGAAAATTTACTTCACTTGTTATTTCCGTTTGGTTCTTCGATAACGAATTTCACTTTGGAATGAAACTTGGTGGTCTCTTGGTTTTTCTGGGGACCATGTTATATTCATTTGGGAACAACCGTTCTCAACCGAAAATCAAAGAGGAGTAGTAATAGGATCGGAATATGTTCATTCTTGTGCGTGTAAACCGGTGAAGTTTTCTTGCTTGTATTATCTTATCTGTAAAAATTTTTTGCAAAATTAGATTGATTTGTAATAAATAATAAATACACTGGCTCGTAAAAAAAAAATCTTCACATGCCAAGGAATTTTTGTGATTGATTTTTTTTGTCGTTCGAATACAAGTAATTCTAATTAAAATTTTGGGTTCACTGTTTTTATTTTAAATCCATAAATATATATGCTTTTGAAAATTATAATATTTATAGTATTTTTTTGAAGTTTCAGAATTCCCCCCTTTATTAATTATTACTGTACATAATTTATAGCAAATGTTAATCAAAAATATTTAAAAGAGAAAATCATTGATTTGCTAGAAACATAAATTTACAATGTTTTTGAAATAAAAAATCAAATAAATAATAAAATTAATACTTTTGGGTTTTCAAATAAAGGTTTTCAGTTCAAAAACTATTTATCAATATAGCTAATAGGTGGTGCGATAATCACCGTGACATATCAGAGGGAAATGTGATTAATGCGAAAACTCATAATGCCGGCTGAAACTATAATTTTAATTCTACCGAAGTTATAATTAACGTCAACCAGTGTTATAAACTAATGTTAGCCGGAATTATAAATTTAATTTCATCCGGAATTACAAATCTTAAATTTTACCAAATTACAAATCTAATGTCGGCCGGAATTACAACTTTAATAAAAGTTTGGCAAACTCACAAATTTGATCAATAAATATTTTAACATAATTAATTAAAAGTTTGGCAAACTCTTTCACCTCTAGGGCCCCTCAAGATACAATCACATTGTCAATATGGGATGGATTTGTTTGAAGTTTTTTTATTACTTCAAATCTACTTTTATTAAATTTTATCTTCTTAAATACTTGATAAGATTATACTGTATGTTTTCATTTTTCTTCCTTATTTCAAAAAATAATATGGACTCTTATGATTTCATTTAATTCATCCATAACCTCATAGAATCTTCTCATACTTGAGCATGAATTCTTTAAGTTTAAAAATATTTATATATATATATATTTTTTTTTTTTTTAATGCTGGCTTTGTAATACTTTATTGAAACTCATAGATAAAAGAAATTGAGTTAATTTAAACACCATATATCCAAATTTTCTTGTCTAATAAAGTAAAAATAATAAAAGATCTCCTTTAAGGATCACTCTATCTTGTGGCTAAGTCACCTCTTTAAAGATCAGAAGATTAGTATATAGCCCTACTAATGTTAAAATAAATTTAAAATATATATAAAGAAAAAATAAAGAAGAAAAAAGTTGTATTCTACTTTTTAGGAAGTTTGTTAATGTTTAAGATCCACTTGACAAAGTTATGTTCAATACCCTATTAACCTTTTCAAGTTAACTATTCTTATAAATAAGAGGGCAAGGTTACATAAACTTAAATAAGGATGAAGATTTTGTATTACAAAAAAGACATTGGAGGACTAAGAGAAATAGTTTGGTTATATTCATTTATTGTCTACCAGTTTTGGTCTCATTTCTTCTATATCCTATTTAGTATAGAATCTCCTATAGATGTTCTTCTGAATGATGACAAGTTGAAGGTTTTGTAGGGACTCTAAGATACAGGGGAGATGAAAGAAAGGAAAAGTTTAGGACCCGTTGTATGCTAGTTTGTCCTTCTTTATCATTGTAATAATTCTATTTTAGAAAGGAGAATTTTGATACTTCCAATATGCATCCTGAAAAACTTGATAAATGTCATACTGTTTTCTCCTGAGTATTACTATTAATAGAGATTGAACTATTGTTTACGGTTCTGATACATTCTTCAGATATATTTGATCTAATGACTACAAGTTGGTATTAATAATTAGATGCTAATAATTCTAAGATCTCCCTGATTTCCCAATAAGCTTGCAATAAAAGATAGGCATGACACTTTTAAGGCATTGTCCTCATTCTGTATTCCCTTGAGTCTTATCTTTATCTATTTTCTTAGATAGGTGAGAAGAGAATATGTTCCTTCTCTTTTACTTCTTCAATAATATAGGAGTTGACAGTATTCTTTATCCATCTATACCAATCCAATAACTTATTATAGACCTTAGTTCTTATCGAGCTAAGGAAATGCATTTAAACATATGAAGTGATCAATAAGAGCTTGTTTATTTCTTTTTTCCTGACATGTTTAATTATATCCAATCATGATATAAAAAACTTTTGCTACTCAAAATTCAGGATCAAACTGAAGTAGATAAAATTTCCAAAAAAAAAACTTAAAATGAGCACTCTTATAGTCAACTTAGGGGACAAGGGGTAAAAGTGAGTCTCTTGTTCTATACCAAACTATGTAGTATTTCTCTACAGTGTGAGATAAATATATATCAATTCTTTTTTCTTTTAGAACCTTCTTGTCATTAGTAAAAAAGATAGTTGCTCAATCTTTTTGGTTACAAGAGATTGAAATTTGTGTAAAGTAAAATATAAACAAGAAAAGAATGGGAAATAAGATGACTTCTGAAGATTAACTTCAGGTTGGTTTAAGGAGAGTGTTAAGGTTTTATTAGTAAGAAGGGTCAAAACCCCTCTTACAAAGGTCTTTTTTGTGTGTAGTCAGAGAATCAGCGAAAAGAGTTGTTTTGATATATATATATAAATATTTATATTAACTTTATATTTAAAGTAAATAATATTTATTTTGATTTTTTTTTTCTTAAATACTTGCAACCAGTCTAAATCTTAGTTTATTAATCAATTAAAAATATAAATACATTTTCACTTGAACAATATAATATATACTATAGCTAAATATTTTTATATATCTAATAAACTCTTTATAAATAATAATAATCTCTAAGTTTGATCTTAAGAATAATATTTTATTTATTAATCTTTAAGAAAATAATTTTTAATTTATCATTTTATTATTAGCAGGTTATTACTATCAAATATTCTATTAAGTTACTGGAATACAGAAAACTATAAAAAGATGGATTAAAAAAAAAAGAAAGTGTTATATTCATAAATGTACAAATGGACTATAAGAAAATAAAATAAAATAAAATTCTTTAGCTTTTTCCAAAAATCTACTTTTCAAAACTTCTTCTCAATAAAAATATCCAATTGAAATATTTTTTTTTCTAACCATTTGAGTAACTTATTCATTCTTAATCTTGATTTTCTTTTATATATCATCTAAAAAACTTATTACCTAATGAAAACCTTTGCTTTCAATAACATACTTGGTTTTAATTTTTTTTGAACAGTGATTTTTTATTTATTTATAATAAATAAATAATTTATGATAAACTTTAGTTTCTTAAATAACTTAATAAAGACTATTCAGTATAACATCTTCTAGAAATCATGTCTGATTAAAGAAATTTTATTGATAAATATCTTTTATTATTTAAAATATCAGATTTCTTAATAATTTCTTTGTCTTGTAAAATTGAAAGATTTTAAAAGTGGCAAAGATTTTTATCAATTATGATATTCTTTAATAATTTCTAAAAAAATATATTTTCAATTGTAACTAAAAAGTTTAAGTTTAACATGAACTAGAAATCATTTAATTTTATTGTTTAACTTGGATAAGAAAAAAATCTTAGTCTTTAACTTTGTTTAATTAGTATGATAAGAGAGAAAGATCTTGACTTAAACAAATAACAATCTTTTTATCACTTGAAACTTGTTATATATATTTTATTAATCTTATAGAACTTGATCTATAGATTAATCCAATTGAAAGAGTAAAGTAAAAATAAAATATCAATCAATTCTTTCTATTATAAATGATATTTTTAAGACACATAAGATAATCAATAAAGATAAGCCCTTAAAGAAAAAGATAGAAATAAAAGTCAAATATTCTTTACTAGAAAACATTTAAGTTTTTAAATTAATAACTATAAAAAAACTACCCAAAATAGTTTTCTATTATCAAAATTTTTAATTTATAATATTTCCTAAATTTTGCTCCTTAAAAAGAAATATAAATAATCTGCAAAATTTTATATACTAAATACTTTAAGAACCTCTCTTTATTAATTAATAAATTTAGATGGAATAATATAACTAAACAACAAATATATAAGACAAGAAATAAGAAAACATTTAGCATTAATCCATATCATATAAAAAAAAATGGAGATTTCAAAACAGGTATATTTACCTCAAGACTTTCAGAAGAAACCAAAACAAATCAAATAGCATATTTCCAGAACACATTAAGCTTACCAAAAAACTTTTACCTCTTCACAAAGGAATTTATCAATGGCAATATTTGAACAATATTTTGGTATGAAGAGGAAGAAGATATATTAAGATGCCTTGAAAAAATCAATAAAAAGAAGAAAAACAATTTTATCATTATATCCCTAGAAATGAACAAATAGTTAAACTCCAGTTAACCACTAAACAAAAAAGTATTCCAGAAAACAAAGAAGAAAAAAGAAATATCACTAGTGTTTATCTTGATAAATATTAATTGAAATTACTCACATCAAGAAATCAAGGTAGTTCTCAATCAATATAAACAAACAACAAATGTCTATATTTACAATCACTTATAGTCATCATGCAGAATCAAGGTACATATTATTCCTCACAAACAATATACTGATCTTGAAGAAAAATGGATAATCCATGCCAGAGTAGAAACTATTAGAACCATTTTTTTATAAAATAAATCTGATAATGAAGAAATCAACAAAATTATTAAGCAGCACAATATACAATTCTTGTGATTATATAAGTATATAATACTACTACCAGGCTAATTGCAAGGATAGTTAAATATATCAAGGCCAAAACATGTTATATTTCTAGAAATCCACATACATTTAAAAGAAAAAGATATATTATAATTTGCTTTTCAACAGCACAAAATCTTAACAATACCTTAAAATAATATATTTG